GATGAGGAAATGTTTTAAGTAAATCTCTTAAGCAGACTGATATAGAAGTAACAATGAGGACATTTTAGTCATTAGAAATGAGTAATGACACAACCATTTACTCCTGGGCCGATACTAAGTCTGATAAGTCCAGTATGCAGCAAAATATCCTTATGTTCGGATATATTAAGCCTCACCGACCTCAGTAGTTACATTTTTCCCTATGCGCCGTATCAATTCAGTAAGCGATCATGGCTCTCCACAATTTCCTGTTATTCGTAGCTCTTCATAATTTTTGTCTTTTTGTTACTCTACTAAACATTGATTCGTCATCCATTTTAGTGAAGCTCGCTAGGTAGGTTATGCGTTGTTCTCTTCTGTTCCTCTTGGCTTCAATATCTCCTGTGAGTATCTCATTTTACTAGCCCCCTTTCCTCATGTGGCCTAGAAATGTCAACTGTCTCTTCTCGTCCTGGAGAAGACGTTAAACTACATCCAGGTCCTGTGTAAGACGATAAACTACGTTCTGCAGCAAGGCCTCTGTTCAGGAGGTTTTGAGGAGCATGGAACCACCTCTTAATTGCTGGGGATTCCAGGTCCACCCTGACCCGGGGTGGTAGCACCTGTTAGGGTCCCAGCTATGGGCAAATAGTTAACTATTACTAGCAAAACTTTTTTGAAAATAATTATTACCAGCAACACAATTTTGAAGAAAATATATTACCAGAAACAGATTTTTGACGAAACAAAATATTAACACTAATAAAAAATGTTGTCGTCATTAAATTACCCATTGAGGTTGATATGCCGTAAAACAAAATAAACCAAATCAATCAACTGTCTCTTCTTTATGGTAAATATGAGTTTCTTTTTCGTTACTATTTTTCTGTTTCTTTATATTTTGCTTAGCGTTTAGAAGGTTATGTTTTGTTTTTTTCTGTTCCTCTTGGCTTCAATATCTCCTGTGAGTATCTCATTTTTCTAGCCCCCTTTCCTCATGTGGCATAGAAATGTCAACTGTCTCTACTTTATGGTAAATATAAGTTTCCTTTTTATTTCCATTTTTCTGTTTCTTTTTATTTTGCTTAGCTTTAGGAAGGCATCTTTTGAAAGGTTACGTTTTGTTCTCCTCTGTTCCTCTTACTTTCAATATCTTCTGTGATTATCTCATTTTCCCAGCCCCACTTTCCACATGTGGCCTAGAAATATCAATTGTCTGTTCTTTATGTTAAATATAAGTTTCCTTTTTGTTTCCATTTTCCTTTTGTTTCTTTATATTTTGCTTAGCTTTTGGAAGGCATCTTTCATTATATCAATGCTCTTCGGATTTCAGTACTCTTTTCTTTGTTTCTGTTTTTTTTTTTTTTTGTTTATTAATACTGTAAATTTCGTATTTTGTTTATTTATGAATGTTCAGGATACGAAGTAAAGCGATATAAAAAACAAGTAACCTAGTATTTGGTATGCGAAAAAAACAAACAAACAAAAAAACAGAGAAATTGTGTATGGTAAAATGGAAGTTACAAATTTCCTTGCTGTACCAATGTCGTGATAGTTTTTTTGTTATTTTTTTTTAAGATGCCGAATTGACGAAAACAAGAACTCATGCATTATTGATAAACGAATGCCTGCTGAGTGAATGACTTGGATGTACGCTGAACACATTGACTATTTCTTTTCTAATCAATTTCAAACGAACACTTCTTGTCGCTACCTTCCACTCGATTCTGGTATTCATGTGTCTACAAAATTCTTCCTTTCTGATTCAGGGGTTCTATGAATTGATTGATGCGGGAACTTTTTGGCTTCCATCTTTTTGAAAAATTTGGATGCCATATTTTAAGATACTGTTCAGTGTCTTGATTACTCCTCCTTCCTTGGACGAATGTTTGTAGCTGGGATTTAACTTTGCTCTCAGTAATTGTTTGGCTTGTTGGTTTTGGTTTAGCGTCACATCAACCACTATGAATTATTTAATAACGAAATCTACATATTTTGGGTACAATTTTAAGGCTTCAAATACAAATACATTTTACTGCTAGTCATTTGCTATAAAATTCAGTTTTTAATTTTACTATAAAATGTATTGCTCGTCATTTTACTTTAAAGATGTATTGTTAGTAATTTTACTATTATTGGCAAATCAAGACACCGAAGGTTTTTCGGACGCGTATAATTTCTTACACTTATAAGATTATTACTAGTATATATATATATATATATATATATATATATATATATATATATATATATATATATATAATTATTTATTTAAAAATATGATTCCAACTCGCGACATAAGAGGTCTCATGTTTTTCTTCAAAACAAGAGCCGAATACTTCAATATAATTATTTGAATTAAATTGAATTAAAGTACTAAGCTCTGTTCCATCTTCAAGCGAATTTCTTTTTGGGAATAACTTATTTCTGAAATTTACGTGTTTTAATAATTGAAATCAAAATTTCCATGGTAACAGCTAGGGCGAATTGTTTAAATTGGGTAGGCGTGTGTTGGGTGTTAATAATAAGTATCAGTATAGAGTTACTTTCATAGATGTCAAGTCAGGGAAAGGCGGGGGTGTCTAAATTTGAAACTGAAGAAGTATTAACTCTAGTCTGGTTTGCGTGTCTATGGAGATTTATTTATTTTTTTTTTTTTTTTTTTTATGAAAGGATTTGCATATAAAAAAAATAAAACTGCCATGTTTCTTTGTTTTTGACGACTTCATAAAGAGTTATCTTTTTTGTAGGGTATTTTAACTATTTATTGGGGCTATGGATTATGAAAGTTATTATATTGTACGCTTGTTTTTAGCTAATTATTCAAACCATGAATCTGATGATTGGGCTATGGATTAATCAAGTTATTATATCGTATGCTTGTTTTTAGCTAATTATTCAAACCATAAATCTGATGATGTCGACAAAAAAACCGTTAACTCATGTCTATTGTTTAATAGATAATTATTATTTAGAACTATGTTGAACTACATATAAGCATTAATCTATAATTGCATTCAAATTGATTACAATGGTCAACGTCAATACGGATAATTATTGTACTAGGTTGCCCCCACATGAAATGACGCCTGGTTTGGTTGGTTGTTCATCCGGTCGTTTAACAAAGTAATCTCCTTGGTATATAAAAACAAAAAGTCTTTACGTATTCCTGACTCTTATTTCTTTCCAGATAATTTTTCTTTCAATATATTGTTACTCATAAACCAAATGAAAATGATTAAAATGAAACAATGTCCAGTAATCTTACTGTTTGAGTACGAACCGGGAAAAAGAGAACCATTTTTGTATCGATTCATTATCGATCAGAAATGTATGCTCTTTGACAACAAAAGAGAATAGGCCAGAGGTTAGATGTAAGTGAATCACCAAAACAATACCCAAAACCTCCACTGCACCCTAAAAAGTTAATTGCTACTGTATGGTGGTCTTTCAAAGGGGTTATTCATTATACATTCCTACCTCAGGGGAAAACAATAACACCGTCGTATTGTGGAGACATTGAGTGTATTCATGAAAAATTAAAAAAAAAAGAAACATCCTAGCCTTGGGAATAGGGATGCCCCAATTTTGCTGTACGATAACAAACAGCTGAACATTTCTCAATCAACTGTCCAAAAAACTGCATAGCCTGAATTATGAAATTCAGTCTCATCCTCTATATTCACCTTATATCACTCCTACTAATTGTCTGTTATTTAAGAATTTTCAGCAAGAAAACACGAGGAAGAGGCAATCGAAGCACTTGAACTGTTTATCGCATCATAGGATGAGAATTTGTTTAAAAGATGGGTTTGAGAATTTACATGTCCGTTGGAGAAAGTCATTCACCAATGATGCCTATTTCAACTAAATCAGTTTAGTTATTTCATATTACAGAAGCGTTTTATACACTTCCTATATAGTGCATCCATTCATGTGTGAGAACCCTGCTTTTTTTTTCTTGGTACAGGTCATAATCAAAACTGTTTTAGCTATTGGGTATATTCAAGACAGACAATAATCCTTTGTTCTCAAAAGCTGGCTATTACTCACTTTTGCCAAAAATATTTATAAATTAATCAATCACTTGCCTAATAAAACTGACATTCTATATATATATATATATATATATATATATATATATATATATATATATATATATATATATATAAATAAATAAAAAAAAAAAAAGAACAGTAAGTTATATAATCCGGTGTTCTTATAGATATTTTTATTTTTACAAAATAGTGCTCAATGTAAATTTACAGTGTATTAATATTATAAATTAATTGATTTAAAATATGTTTTTTTCGCTACACAGTTCTAACCATGTTTCAAAAATATTTGAAAACATATTTTAAATCAATTAATTTATATATGTAAATATATATATATATATATATATATATATATATATATATATATATATATATATATATATATATATATAAGACTAATATTTCTGAATGTTACTCGCTTGCTTTTAAATGATGCCAAATCCCCAAAATATAACTGACTTGCAAAAAGTAATAATTTACAACTGCATAAAAACTTATTCTTAGCACATTTACTAACTTTTACCATATTTCATTGTTATTAAACAGAATTAACGAGAACCATTTTAATAATAAATTTATGGATAATTGATTAATTGCTTTGTCTTAATTGTTATTGTAACTCTATAGTGGATTTATTGCCACTATACACAATCACAGACACACACACATATATATATATATATATATATATATATATATATATATATATATATATATATATATATATATATATATGTATGTATGATAGAGAGCATTGAGATTATCTTGAAATATTGAAGCCATCTTTTCCTTTCAATTATTTTCTTTTAGTTTTCTTTTTTATTTCTCCTCTAGGAATGGTAACATTGTCGATATTCTGTTTGATATTAAATCATCATTTATGCATTCCTTTTGCTTTTCTATGACATCTTTGTAAACCCCCTCTTCTTTCAATTTCTTTCCTGAATTCTTTTCCTCGGTCATATGTTACAGTCAAGTGTTGAGAGACAATTCTGGGATAGGTGAGGACAAATCCCAAAAATGACTTGTAAAAAGTTATACTTTACAACTGCCATCTCTCACATAAAAACTTATTCTTAGCACATGCAAACTATTTTCAAACTCTACATGGAATATCCCAGACTGCTCTTATCTCTGAAAAACACCCACACACACACACACATATATATATATATATATATATATATATATATATATATATATATATATATATATATATATATATAAATTATAACTTAACACTTCCGCTGCTAACTACGGAGATGTTGGTTTTTCTTATCTTGCTCCAGCTGGCTAAGTATGGAAACCTACGTTTTTTTGCATACCACTGGTATGAGTGTCCCGTTGCGTCAAATCACAAAGGACAATGCTTCAAAAGATATCATGTGTAAACCCATTAGTAATCTGGTAAGTCATTCCCAGGTATATCCATGAAAGTGGAAGGCTGTAAAACACACTGGTGCCAGTTTTCTGTGTAATAAAATATGTAGGTTGAAATTTGGCATTTTCTTTAAAAATGGCTGGCCGGAAGGGGGCAGCACTGGGCAAATGAGTAGCAGTGAAAGTGTTAAGTATGTTATAACATCCCTACAAAAATAGCCATTTTGTTCCAACACTTCTGGTGTTAAGTGAAGTGATTGTGTTGATTGTAAAATAAAAACGTTTTAATTTTTTTTAATTGTGCATTGTGTGGCTTCCATTCGAAATAATGGTTTGCACACCTTGTTTCATATTTATTGAAGTTATCAAACTATACTAACATAAAACATGGCTGAAAACGTTTATATGCCGTGCCGTCGGACCGAAGGGAACTGATTAGGATGAAAACAGCTTATTTATATTTTATTTCCTCGTGCATCGGAGTAAACAAGAGACTGAGGAGATTAAAATGGAAGAAGCGAGGCAGAAACCCACAAAAAGGATTATTCGTTGAATTTGTATCAAACTTTCAGAATTATACAGGGCAGAGAATGAAGAAGAGTAAAATGGTGACGACTTAGAACCAACAGCCAAACTATTCGCAAACATCATTTGGTTCTAGTGGTGAAGGCTTGTGCAGATCCAAGCACAATTATTGGGGGGGGGAAGAGTTGAATACAGAGAACTGGTGGAAACTCAGCACTCTGATTCCTCAATCAAGAAGATCTGATTTCTTAATCCGAGCCGCTAGCCATAACACTACCGTGCCACTCTCTTTCTCTCTCCACACTCTCTCTCTCTCTCTCTCTCTATATATATATATATATATATATATATATATATATATTGACGTCACATATTATGAAATGGACAAAGTCTGACGATTATTTTTTTAGATGTTTTTTAATGTTAATACGTTCTTTTTATAGATACAAATATTTAAGTAAATGCTCTCTCTCTCTCTCTCTATCTATATATATATATATATATATATATATATATATATATATATATATTGATCATATATTATGAAATGGAAAGTCTGACGATTATTTTTTAGATGTTTTTAATGTTAATACGTTCTTTTATAGATACAAATATTTAAAAGCTCTCTCTCTCTCTCTCTGACGATTATATATTATATATATATATATTTATATATATATATGACGTTACATATTTTGGACAAAGTCTGAGATTATTTTTTTAGACAAATACGTTCTTTTTATAGATACAAATATATAAGTAAATGCTCTCTCTCTCTCTCTCTCTCTATATATATATATATATATATATATATATAAATTTCACATGGAATTGTTACATGCTTAATTACCACAAAATACGGAGGAATTCTTCAAGAAATAAACATGTAGAAAGTAAAAATGGCCAACGCCTAGTTGCTACAGATCTAAGAATATTAAAACTTGGTATTTCATAAATTCTTGTGAAGTTTCAAGATACAAGATAGAAATTGATCAAAGAAAACTGCAAGACGAGGCGGATGGATGTGACTAGTTCAAATTCGTGTCATTAGGAACCTGCAAGCATAAATTCAAGAAATTTGACTAAATTGTATTTACGCTAAGAAACCAGTATTAAACTAAATGCATTTGAAGCAAGATTAAGTTGGATCAAGAATTATGGGCTACAGGATGTAGATATTTGGCATAAGATCAACTTCAGAAATGAAATCTGCATCGCAATAAGCGAGAACTTATCAGAAACTCTACTGGAAAGCAAATCTATATAGATTACTGGAAAAAAAACCTGTGGAATTTGGGGTAAAAGACTGATGCTTTGGGGAGACATAAAAAGTGATATTTCAAGAAATTTCGTTAAAATTGCTTGAACAGAGGAAAATAGATCAAGTTGCTGAAGGACTATTTCATAGCAGAGTTGTGCGAAAAATGTTTTTTGTTTTTTTTCAGCATAGACAGATCTACATGTCTCAGATAATATGTAGCACAGCTGAGTCTGGTTGATGAAGGTGTCGCCATATTGAAATAGCCAAAGATTCTGTTAACTTGAATTTAGAGTGGCAGTAACCGGCGCGGCAAGATAGACTGACGTCGCGAGGATAAGTTCCAACCAAAATCGAATCAAATGTGTGAGGATCGCGTACGAGCAACGTCATAAAAACGCTTCGCAATTATAGGAAAGTGACATACATTTTAATTGTTGGAATAGATTTAATTGTTGAAATCTCTTACAAACAGTAGGCCTTCCGGATATGAGAAAATGGTCCGGGTATAAGAGATTCCAGATGATGGATTCCCAAATTTGTTCCGGATAAGGGATTCCAGATAAAACGAACAAGCTGATCGTTGATTTCCAGAATGACAAACGGACTAAGGATTCCGGATATGAGGGTTTAAAATGTCCGGATATAAGGTATGAATGGCTTCCGGATATGAGGATTCCGGATATGAGGGACACTAAAACAAACAAGCTGACCGCTGACATTTCTTTATACAGTAGAATCTCTGACAACCGGACTAAGAAGGCCTTCCGGATATGAGGAATTGGTTACAAAGTCCGGATATGAGGGGTTATATTTAGGTTAAAATAAAATAGATGAAATCAAGTTTAACGTTTATTTTCAATGTTTTATACTAAACAAAATAAACTAATGGTGAATGAAATATAACGGAATTGATTTTAAGGAAAAAAGAAATAAATTATGTAATGTTAATGAAAATTCATTAAAATTAAGAATGCCACGTATGCAAAACAAATAATGTAACGAAATTTTTTTAATCTCTGTTGCATGATGATTCTTTTTCTTATAATGCCATTCTCAACTTTTTCCGCATTTAGTTTTGCTTTTGTTCTTGAAATATTTTAAACGAAAGACACTTTTTAACTCTGCTTGCTTTATTGCAATCGTCATAGCTGAATGCTGGCTATCTTTCCATAAAACTGACAACCTTTTCAATAGCTTTTTCAATTTCAGTCCAGGTTTCATCACAATCATTTTTTTTTTCTTTGTTCATTGTGACAGTGTGAACGCTGGAGAATAATTTCTTTGGAAGACTTTATATCATACAATGTTGACTTTCCTACCATGAACTCAGCTATTTGTTACAAAGAACATTCACCCGCGTCTAGTCTGTTTAATTTTTGCGATAATTGCAAAGTTGTTCTTTTCTTCTTATTCCCAACATCTTTTGCACCAATACAAGCCATTAGGGTGAAATAAGCATAAGTAATTATCGAAATTAAATTTCCCGAAAAACAGAAATTTCAAATCAGTTACATATCACAGAAATAGTTCAAATATACAGATCAAAATCTTGTCCGGATAGACGGGATTCCGGATATGAGGTTTCCGGATATTTGGGATTCTATTGTAAATTGACCAATCGAAGTCCCCATGCATGTCATAGCGAAGATACCAGATAGATTATTTTTTAAAATACTTCCCACAGTGCTTAATGATTGTTATTTATGTTATATAAAGAAAGCTTAAAGAATGTTGTGGCATACTTTATAATGAATTTTATATAGTATTTTTTTATGACTTACTTATTCACTGAATGACAAGTTAATCTACGAGATAGCATGCTATGTAAGAATTATGTTTGTAAGAATTCAATGTTATGTATATGTATCTGTAATTATATATATATATATGCATATTTTATGTTTTTAAAAGAATATTTTAAATACATATATACATACATACATATATATATATATATATATATATATATACATTCTATGATTTTAAAAGAATATTTTTTTAATACATATATGCATATATATATATATATATATATATATATATATATATATATATATATATGTCTTTAAAAAATATTCTTTCAAAAACATTTTGAAACTACCTGCGTCTCTCGTTTCCAGCGCATGTGTAAACGTGGCAACATCAAAAACCCAGTCCGAAGAATTTCTAACGGATGAAACGCGTCACAAGTATATATATATATATATATATATATATATATATATATATATATATATATATAGAGAGAGAGAGAGAGAGAGAGAGGGGACAGAGAGAGAGAGAGAGAGAGACAGAGAGAGATACATGCAGAAAAGAGAGATATCTAAAATAAATAACTTGTCTAAGACGAAATTCGAACTCAGGTCACGAATTTTGAGTTCAGACACTATAATACTGTCAGCACTAATTATTATGCGGTTAAAATCACTCACACACACACGCAAACACACACATATATATATATATATAAATATATATATATATATGTATATATATATAAATAATGTATGTATAGGTGTCATTTTGATTGTCTGCTTTTATTTGACTCTGTCTTCGGGGTTGGTTGTGTGAACGTGCAGGTGCTCGTGATATCCATTTCTTTTTAGGCGAACACAGAAACCAATCTGAGCTTCGAATTACTGAACAGATTTATTAGTTTCCGTAAAGATTTTCATTCCCGCCCACAGATGGCACCCATCTTGGTAGGCTTTTTCTTTAGAATGTTTCTGCCATTTTTTGTAGAATGAAAACAATATTTAAAGAAAAAATTCGAAGATATTTAGTTCGTCTGGTCACA